TTTAGTAAGGAGCAGATACATTCATCTTCAAAGGGAATGACATGAAAGCCCTTAAGAATAGCTTTCATTCTAATAATCATCAAATTCACATTATTTAGGAAGCCACACAATATCCACCAAATCATTATATGAGGTTGACAATGCAAGAGCTGAAAGCGGATACATGATAGCTTGTGTATGCCATCTTTCCTTATTTGAAGCAGGCATTGCAATCTGTAACATAATTCCATGCAGTTGTAAAATACAGAATTAATTTTTTTCACATGATCTTGTGATAGAAATACTGAGGCAATTCTTCAGCTCAATTTTGTTATTAGCAGCCATTATTTGATTATAAATTGAAATAATAATATGCACTATCAATAAACAACCATCTTAAATTATAAAAAAATAAATCAAACAGAGTTTTTAGCCACTAGATTCATGCCTGAAAGAGACAAATGACATCTGCAACCTCTTCTTTCTCTATTTTTAATCCCTTCTTAAAGGAGGAAAATTCCTCTCTTTTTCAGTCCAACACAGACCTATTTTCCACATCTGGCATGACATAGTCATTACACAGAGGATTTACAGAAAATTGTGAGTCATTAATCAAATCTTTTGGCTGCAACACATGCTCTATTTTAAAGATCCACAAGATCCTCTATGACCCAGAACCCTCCCCCCAATGTTTCTCAGATTTGCTTTGCTTTTCTTCTTAAAACTTTGTTTTATTGTTGGCAGCATTGTTATTCATATTTCCACCTTTTTCTATTGCTTTGACTTCTAAAAAATAAAAACCTGTTAAAATAATTTTTCTATCCATACCGGGCTGTGGTCTGATAAAGTTCTCGGAAATATCTTTGTTTTCTTTGTTTTTGAGAGTAAATCAACTGTAAGTAAGATAAAATCAATCCTAGAAAAGGATCTGTGTCTATCTGAAAAAAAAGTAAAATCCAGTTCTTTTGGGTTATGCACTCTCCAAATATCTTTCAATTCCAGATCTTCTTTCATATCAAAAAAAGACTGTGATAGTTTGACACATGATTTTGCCAGACTCTTCTTATCTGTTTTAGAATCTATTACTCCATTCCAATCTCTCATAAGTAAGATAGATCTATAGTCCCATTGTAATATTTTAGAATGCAATAATTTATAAAAATTTTCTTGTTGCTGATTAGGAGCATACATTCCAATCACCAAAATTGGACCATTATCTGTAAGAAGTTCTATTGCTAAATATCTTCCACAATCATCTGCTTCTATAATTTTTGTTAGCAGTCTTTTATTTGTATAAATCACTATACCATTCTTTTTCTCCAAATTTGAAGCTATAAACTGTGTTCCTAATCTAGAATTTATCAAATATTTTTGATCTTGTATTCTAATATGAGTTTCCTGTAAGCAAATTTTTTTTTTTTAATTAACGTTTGTATTACATGTATTTTTATCATTCGCTGTTCACCGCCCTGAGTCCCTTAGGAATAGGGCGGTATATAAATTTAATAAATAAATAAATAACATCATTGTTAAATTGTCTCAAATAATGAAATATCTTCCTCCTTTTCTGTGGTGAATTCAATCCGTTCACATTCCAGGATAAAAACTTAATTGTCATCTGTAGTCTCTTGAAGCGATAAGAGCATTTGCTGAAGTTGCTGTTCCAAACTAGTAGTCTTCGGCTTTGCTCCCCCCATGGCTTCGGATTTTTGTGCTTCACCATTGATTCCTTGTTTATCTTGTGTTAGCTTAGGGCTCTGATGTTGTTGTTTCTCTAAAAATTGCTTGTAAGCTGCTCGAGTTATACGCTGGTCTTTAGCACTGTGCAACATCAGGTCAAGATCCATTGCCACTTCTCTTGTATTTTTAGATGGTTCAGGTAAAGCCTCTAAAGGAAAATCCAACAAGGGTTTATCTAAAAAAAACCCTATTGCTCCTTGGGTCTCCATTGCCTCCTTCTCCGTCTGCTTCCTCTGCTCTTCAAGTTCTTGTTCAAATTCCTTGTCTTTCTCACCCTCCACTGTGGCTAACACCGAAGAAGTACGTGGAGATGCTGCACCAGGTTTAAAAACATTAAGGTAGAATTCTTCCGCTTTTTGAAGGGCATTTAATCGTTATCTCTCTCCTTGGTACCTCAATATTATGCCCATTGGAGTATCCCATCTGAATGGTATTTGTTGTTTCTTTAATTCGGTCACCAAGAACCCAAAGTCCTTTCTATCTCTTAACATCTTAGGTGGCAACTCTTTGTAGATCCCAATCTCTCTTCATCCACTTGAATAGTAGAAACAAATGACTTTTGTAAAATATCATTTCTTATTCTTCTATCTGTAAAGTATATCACCACATCTCTAGGCAATTGCCTTTGCCTTGCCACCCAAGAATTCACTCTGTAGACCTTATCAATTTTGCAAAAAATCTCCTCGGGATCAACCTTTAGCATAACAGCCAAAGCATCAGCACAGATCCTTCTCAGATCTTCTCTAGTACTCTCTTTTATGCCTCTAAGTCTTACAGCATATTCCATAAGTCTGAATTGCATCATTGTCACTTCATTTTCAAGCCTCTGTGTTTTGTTATCAACATTAGAAATTTTCTGATCAGTTTCCTTCATTTTAGATTCTACCTCTAAGATGTTCCACTTTCTTATCAATCTGGACCACAACCTTTGACAAACCAGTCATAGCTGTCAATATGTCCCGCTTCACCTTGTCATATTTTTCTTGAATCACCTCCTTAAATTCTTGCTGAGATTTTTCAAATTTCTGGTCTAAAACTTCATTTTGATTCTTCAAAGCCACAGCAATAAATTCCTTCAGGTCTTTAAATCCAGATTCTTGTGTTTGAGTCTGTCTGCAAACTTAAAGGCTGCTCTTGTGGCTTGTGAGTGGGGGAGCCCCCTCCCCCCAGCAGCTTTAGCTGGCTTTGTCTGCTTTGAAGCTTGATTCTTTCTAAAAAGGGTATCCTCTCTCCCTTTCCACCACAAAAACCTTTCAGGAATTTCCCCAGCTTTAATCAAGTCCCAAGGGAGAGGGAACCAGTCAAATCATTTTTTAAAGAACTTTTCCTCTCTCTTCTGGCCAGCACTGTTACTTTTTGTTACTTTGTAGCGCAGATAAGCTCAAACAGTTTCCACTTTCACTTTCAGCATTCCTTATTGCTAAAGCCGGGCGCCATTTTAAAAGAACTTTCACTTCTTCTCAGTTACTAATTTCATTCACAGGGCTAAGAAAAATACTTGCGGTTTAAATTTGAAGTCCAGATTCCACCCTGCTTATTTTTAACATTATCTTGGCTTTCTCTCCTTTCGTTGGTCGCATCGCCTGGCTCTGCTAATTGCAGAGTCGTCCTCGGAGCCCGGAGCCTCGGCGCGCTGTATAGGGAGCCTCACCCTGCTTCCTCCCCAGACGCTAAAAAAACCGATCTGGGGACTTCAAAGGGGGCTCTACCTTCTCGCGCCGGCTCTTCTCCCGATTCCTCCGATCGTGGAGTTTTCCAAGCCGCCTCTCAACTGTAGAGGCAGCTCTTTACGAGCAACGGGGCTGGCGGTCTTAAAGGGACCGTCTGACAGCGACAACGGCTCCAACCGGAAGTCCAAAATAATTTTTATTGAAGTTTAAACATACAAAGTTAAAAAATAAATACGAATTAGGAGAAATATAAAAAAGAAAAAGTGAAAAGTGTGGAGAGAGTAATAAAAAAGGGGGTAGAACAAAGGGAGGAAAAAAAATAAAAGAATAAGGGAAAAATAAAGAAATGATTTCTACTTCCATCAAGACAAGTACAAACCTTTTCAGTAATAGCTCCTCATATATTTATATTTATATATATAGTTTATACACTGCTCAAACAACTAAAGGGAACACAAAACTACTGTATGTAACAAACAAAGTATTTAATAAGGCTATTTTATTCATTCAGATCTCGGATGTCTTTTGCTTGTGTTCCCTTTATTTTTTTGAGCAGTGTATTTCAAAGGGGCCTGTCTATTTGCCAATGTTGCCAGTGTTAAACAGTTAACAGCGACAATGTTAAACCCTCTTTTGGCTTTGCTGCCCTCCCAGTTTCAGTATGTTACCAGCTGTCAGGAAACTATCCATCAATTATGACAGCAATGGGGGAATGGCAAATTTGTACCTCCCCTCATGCTCTCTTGCCTACCTTGTGTAATAAAGCAAGAGATGTGGGAGTACTCAGCAACTCCTAAAGCCAGCTGAAACTCTTTTCCGTTTTATTCATTTTATGTAATAAGGTTTTGGAGCAGAAAAGCAGGACCAACTCAGGAATGAACAGTAGAGCTTCCAAAGGCTGTGTAGCTTTAAATTAAGCAAACCAATGCAATCTACCTCACTCCCTACTACTGTTGAAACCTTCATAGCTAGGAAACATTTCTCCACTCTCAACTCCAGTTCCCACAGTCCCTGAGAGGTAAGCGGAGACCACCAAACTGGGAACGATGAGCGACCTTTCATGTCAGCGGTCAAAGTCACCAACGTTACTATGTTCAGCATAGAGGAGAAACTCTACATTGGGTGTGATTTCAGTAAGTTTTCTTCTCTTTTCAAATTGCTAATTTATGTTTTTTACTCTTATACAAGCATGTATTGTGAATTTTCTCCCATGGATGTCATTGCTTTTCGTGTCTAGATTCAGACATTTATCAAGTTCCTTTATCATCCTTCGGGTTTCTGCAAGAGATAGAATCCTGTTAAAAAGAAAAAAAGAAAATCAATTGCAACAATGCCAGCATGGAAACTGCATCGCTACTCCAAAGCTTTTCACGATTCCCCCTCTACATCATCTTGAGACATCTTTGTGGTTGTGCTACGTCACCCGCCCGGCCAGAGAGGCAAAATCAGGGATCTCCGCCCCGCAGCACCGTTTCCCATCTCTATCGTACACGCGTCACCCAACCTGACAGGAACTCTCGCGACACCGAAGATAGTCTCTCAAACTCTTGTTTTAGTTCGGTTTATCCGTGAGCGACGCTTCCGCTTAACCAATGAGATCGAACGACATCGCTAACGCGGGAGGCGGGACAGCTGGCTTGGCTTTCTCCGCTTCCTGTCCCCGATTCGGCGTGGCCGGTGAATGGCTGAGTCACGAAAAGCCGCTACCGCCTGCCGATGCGGAGGCCATGGCTTGGGCTGCGCCCTCTTTACCCTCCGATAAATCTCGGTAACACGGGGAGGGAAGCCGCGCCGGGGCTCTCTGACGGGGTTCGCGGGACGCGCGGGAGCCGCGAATCGCCAAATCGCCTCCGATTCGCGCGTTGTAAGAAGCGGGCTTTAATTGGGATCCGGGAGTGCGCGGGTTTCCCCTCGGCTGGGGCGGCTGTGGGGAAGGGCCGGGCGCGGCGACCGAGAATGGCCGAAGCTCAGAGAGAGAGAAAGAGAGGCATCTGCTGCAGGGCGGCGGCGGCGGCGACAGTGGCGGCTGCCCCGTTTTTCTTGGGCTGGGCCTTGCGCAGCTCTAACGGGGCGATCCGGTGGCTTCCCTCCATAAAGGAGCCCCGTTGGCTTTGCGCGCGGCGGGAATGCGCTTCGTTTCGTGCTCCTGCTCTGGGGTATATCCCCTTGATGGCAGGTAGTCCTCGAGTTACGACCACCCATGAGCTCAAAATGTATGTTGCCAAATGAGACATTTGTTAAGCGAGTTTGCCCCCCCTTTTTTTTGCCACGGTTGTTAAGTGAATCATTGCATGTGTCAAGTTAATAACATGGTTGTTAAGTGAATCCGGCTTCCCCATCGACTTTGCTTGTCCAAAAGCTGATCACCTGACACCCGGGACACTGCAAGCGTCATAAATACGAACCAGTTGCCGAGCATCTGACTTTTGATCACATGATCGTGAGGCTGCTGCAATGGTCGTAAGTGTGAAAAACGGTCACAAGTCACTTTTTTCAGTGCCGTTGTAACTTTGAACGGTCGCTAAATGAACTGTTGTAAGTCGAGGACTACCTGTATTTCCCCCCACTGTTTTTCGTAATTGTATCAGGAAGGGTGGAGAAATAATGGCTGCAATATAGTTGGAGATTTTTTCAGCCATTCATTCATTCATCGATGCAACCCCGTTTCCTTCAAGAGCATAAAGAGCACAAAGAACTCTTCTGTTTTTTCCTCTCAACAACAACCCGACCGGCTCATAGTCACCCGCTGAATTTCTTGCATGACGGGTGGACTACACCCTTGTTTCTCAGTGCCTGGTTCAAAATCTTAACCCCTCTAACTGATTTAACATTTATAAAGCAAGTATCCTATTTTGCTTAAATAATGAATTTACGTGAGTTAACAGACGCTTCCTTAAAACAATCCATTATCTAAGTTTCTGAGATCCATTTTTTTTTGGTAGCACACAATGAAGTGGAATAGGCATTCAGAAGAAGCCTGAGGTCACATGCCTCATCATGTGTCATACAAATATCTGATTATATAAATTGCATTAGTTGTATGTTCACATAATTTGTATGACACTGCCATGATGGTGTGATATCCATGCCCTCCTTGCAGGTGCTTTTTCTGAAGGTGCCCATTCATCTCCTCCCTGCATTTTGGGAGCCTCTTCTCTTTACTCATATCCTTGGATGGTGAGCCCACCAGTTGAAGACTGGTGTATGAGGGAAGAGAAATTACTCCTATAAAAAACTAGTTTACATCTGCAGTTGTGATAAGCAACTGTATTAAATCTATTTAAAATATTAGAGACAGGATCCTCAAAAACGATAGCAAATTAGCCGTTCAATTTCATAATCTTCCTGTCAAGTGTTTTAGTTTTTCTTTTCTCAGACATTCAGTATAGTATTGCTCATGCATAGAATTCAGCTTAATTTCCTATTTTAAAAGAAGTAGAGTGGGACAAAATCTTTTATTTATTTTTAACATTTACTTATTTATTTGGGGTGAATCTGCAAGATTTAGGAATCCTTAAAACCTGCTGATACTTCTTTGTAAGGGTTGGCAACATTGAATTCACTCATAAAATCCATATGTTTGGAGAACCGGTTTGGGCTAGTGATTAAGGCAGCCGGCTAGAAACCAAGAGACCCTGAGTCTTGCCTTAAACATGAAAGCTGACTGAGTGACTTTGAACCAGTCACTTTCTCTCAACCCAATCCTCCTCTTGTGAAGAAAATAGGAGGTGGAAGGAGTATTAGATATGTTTGTTGCCTTGAGTTAATTATAAAAAATAATAAAAGTAGGATATAAATAGATTTAAAAAAAATAAATAATAGAAAATATTTGTAGAAAATACTTTAGATTTTAGTAGTGGTTTTTGCTCTTCAAGCTTTAGAAGAGCATATGACGGCCGTGGACAGGGGGCTTTTTATCAGGTTCGCCTGATACGTCAGTTGCGTCCCTTTCTGGATTGGGATTCTCTATGCACGGTCACTCAAGCACTCGTCACTTCCCACCTGGACTACTGCAATGCTCTCTACATGGGGCTCCCCTTGGGGTGCACCCGGAGGCCGCAGTTGGTCCAGAATGCGGCCGCGTGGGGGATTATGGGAGCGACGGGGCGCTCACATATAACACCTCTCCTGTGCGAGCTGCACTGGCTTCCTGTGGTCTTCCGGGTGCGCTTCAAGGTGTTGGTAACCACCTTTAAAGCGCTCCATGGCTTAGGGCCGGGGTATTTACGAGACCGCCTTCTGCCGCCAATAGCCTCCCACCGAACGGTTCGCTCGCACAGAGAGGGCCTCCTCAGGGTGCCATCGGTCAGACAGTGCTGGCTGGCGACCCCCAGGAGGAGAGCCTTCTCTGTGGCAGCACCTGCCCTCTGGAATGACGTGCCCCTGAGATATGCACGATATCAGACCTCCGGACTTTTCATCGGGCCCTGAAAACACACTTATTCCATCTAGCTGGGCTGGCTTGATCCCATCCTCTCAGTTTTTAATTTGAATTTGGTTTTAATTGGGTTGTTTTAAACTTGGGCCAAAATTATTTAATTGTTTTTTTAAATGTTTTTTAAATTTTATATGCTATGTTTTATCTTGGCTGTACACCGCCCTGAGTCCCACAGGAGAAGGGCGGTATAGAAATAAATATATATATATATATATATATATATATATATATATATATATATATATATATATATATAATTAGCTTTTTTCAATTTAGCTTCTGAACATTTCATTACCAGACTAGGTAACATCATCAGTAGAATCTTCTTGTCCCATTCTTACATATATGAATATGTAAGAAACCAGACCATTCGAACCAATCTGCTGCTCAGAATTTAAATATAGCTCCATATGAACAGCCAATCATACGGCTAACTGACCACACTGGCACACAAGACATTTATAGCTAAGGAGAATAGGACAAGAAAATCTGCTGCTGATGTTACCTAGACTGGTAACGAAACATTCAGAAAACTAAATTGAAAGAATTGGAGAGCAGACCACTGCCAAAATGTTTTTATTACCCAGTTCAGTTTTATCTATATATTATTAAAACTTTTGTGTCTGTAACATTTAATTGGGCCAAACAGTGCATCCTAGGGCAGCACTTTTTGACTCAAGATCCCTCAAATGGGCTAACTTATAGAATGCATCCAAAACCTGGGACCCATGCTTCCCAGGTTGAAATTTGGCAAATATGTGGACACTTCAGTGCTCCTGCAGTGCTACACTGTTGTCCAGAAGTTCAGTAAGCTGATCCCACCCTAGCCATTTGGTAGCCAGGCAGACTAGTTCTACCATCAAGCCGGCTGGAAATCAGAAGTTGCCTCTGCTCCCATTGCTTTTTTGCCCCTAGTTTTCAGTTTAGGTTAGGCAGTGTCTTTGAAATGATGACCCATTGCAGGTTGTCTAGTTAAACATTAAAAATATAAAAATAAGCCCTTTCGCTCACACAGTTTTTGGCCATAGTGAATTTCTTTACTTTAGGAGCTGCATATGTCATATTTCGAAGAATATTTGAATGTGAAGAAATAAATATTCTTTTATGTATCCTGTCGGCTTTTAATTCTTATTTCTTGCCTTAGGTTTATCTGTATATATCCAGCCTACATAAATAACAAGAAGACAATAGCAGAAGGAAGAAGAATACCTCTTGACAAAGTAATTGTGGGTGAAGGGAGGAAAGAAAATCTGTGCATCAAAAATATAATTTGAAAACTATGTAGAATAAAATATTTGTGTGATATACGATTTAAATTATTTCATGGATGGAGCCTTATTAATCAGAAACTAAGATGTAGTATCTGTATTTGCTTTAAATAAAGCTTTTTTTGTTGTATATATTCATTAGCCCACAATGTTAGTTTTGCCACTACATATTTATGTCTTGCATGTATAAAAAGACTTAGTTGTTTTAATATAGTTATTAAAGTACTTACGTAATTTATATTTATAGGAACATTAAAAAGTTCAGTTGCAAGCTATAATTACTCCATGGTTAACTAACATTTTTGTTGCATGGAAATTTCTTTGCTTTTTTTTTTCTTTTCTTTTGGCATCAGGTAACAAATTGGCGAGGGTTGTCAGTGCCAATTTTTAAAGCTGGCATATGGCTTGCAAAATTTAAACCTGTGCACCCTCACATTAATTTATATCTATAAATTAATGGGCTATATTATATGGGCTATACCATATGTCTCTAAATACTTCCATTAAGTCTTATTAATTTTTGTAGTTTCAGTCAATTGTTCCTCAATATATTTTAGGAATTGTTTTTTTTTCTTTTTCTTATAAATGGGCAAGATGCACACAATCATTTTAATGCTGTTGCAATAAAATACTGAAGGCTCCAAATTCAGTAGTATTAGCTGATAATTGATTTATGCATAACAGCTTAATTGGTGGCAAGAACTCATAGATGCTAAAAAAAATTCTGGGTTTTTTTTTTTTTTTTTTTTGGGCAGGCTATTGAAAATCCTACATCTACAGAAATTCAAGATGTTTGTGCAGCAGTTGGTCTTAATGTGCTTTTGGAGGTAATTTTTTTTTGTTATTTTCTACTGTACACTTATGTAAAACTATAATTCCACAATTTGTGACAAAGGGGGTGGAAGTAAGAAGAATCTTACTCATAGAAGCAATATTGTGACACAAGTCCTTCCCTTCTTTAGAGTAGAGAAGCAGCAGAACTTACAGAGGACATTGTAATAAATGTAAAAGGTTGAGGATTACAGAACACACTCTTCCAATAGAGCATTAACAACACTCTGGAGAGATATAAATCTAAAATGTTTATGCTGGCATACTATAATTAAGATAATGAACTGGGAAATTCCTCTTCGAAATCTAATCCTTGGCATACTCTTTAAAAAAAAACCTTTAATAGTATAACTTTCAAATTGTTTCATGGGGTCAAGTAGTCTTTCTTACAGAGCTTTCCTTTGAATTAAACTTCCAATATTCCGAGTCATTTTAGCATTGGTATTTGTTATTTCTGTTATTTCTGCTGTTTCTGCTAGTTTTTTGGAACTTAAAAGGTCCTTGAAAGGACCGTGGGGTTGTGTGTGAAGCCAGGAGATCCTCGCGGATGTCTGGCTACCAGTCCGTCTGTTACTCATTTAGCACCACCCAGGAGGCACGTGTGACTTAAGGATTGCCACAGACGCGAGTAACTTTGCCTCCCAAGAAGCTCTCATTCGGGAGTACAGTAAGATCCTGTTAAATTCCTCTCTACCCATACATGGATACATTCCTGATCTCTTAAGATGCCGATTAAAGTCAAGAAACCCACCACCCTTGACAGCGCATAAGTTGATGGCCGATCATCAGAACACCACACAAAAGTGGATGGAGGCGTGGAATAGCTGTTCCCCCCAAGATGTCTCCGAGCATATCAGTCCTAGTAGTATACCTCCAGGATTTAGCCTACCCCGACACATATGGGTGACATATAATAGAATTAGAACAACTCATGGGGTGTGTGCTGACTCCCTGCATAAATGGGGAAAGACACCTTCAGCACAATGTGATTGCGGGGCCCCTCGACAGACTATCCAGCATATAGTGAGGGAATGCCCTAACAGAAGGTATCCAGGAGATTCTAGGGACTTCCTCTGCATAACAATGGCAGCTACTGACTGGATCTCCAAACTCTACATTAAACTTTGAAATGTTATTTCTGTTTTCCTTTTAGGTTTTCTTACTGTTTTTTTATTGTTTTAATTGTTATTAACCTGTAAAAATGAAGTGTTTTAATACTGTGTGTGACCAACCATACGCTAAATAAATAAATTTCCTTTGAATTACTAAGGTAATATCTTTAACTATTAAAATAAACAGTTCAGCCCTATATTGGTTATTCCTGTATAACTATTAGGACTCTTAATTTAATAGTTTAATGGCTCTTGCTCCCAAAGTAGATTTATAATTATAAGTGTTTTTATTTTGCTTATGCTTGCTTGTAATGTTCTGAACTTTTCCTCCATGTACTAGAAAAACAAAATGTATTCCAGGGAATGGAACCGTGATGCGCAATATAGGGGTAGAGTTCGCATTCAGCTGAAGCAGGAAGATGGTAATTTATGTCAGCCTCAGTTTCCAACACGTGAGTGTTATAAATATGCACAAGACTGGTTTGTTCCTTTTGTTCATTTATAGATGGAAGCCAGAGCTGCACATTATGAAGTGCAAATGGTGGATAATTCCTGGTTACCCTCTTCTTGATGAATTATTTTCTTGTTCTTTTCTCTCTGTTTATTTAGGTAAGGCAGTGATGTTATATGCAGCAGAAACCATTCCCAAACTGAAAACAAGGACACAGAAAATGGGAGGCAGTGACCCAAGTCTACAGCAAGGAGAAGGTGGCAAAAAAAATAAAGGAAAAAAGAAGAAATGAATGTGACATGGACTAATACTATATGTTCAAATGAATATGGTTACAGAAGAATAATGACTTCAAATGACAGTTGGACAGACCAATGAAAACATGCAAAGCTATTTTGTGGTAGTTTTTAAATTAGAATGAGTTTCATTTTGTATAAAATTATGGTTGAACCATTTGGGAACATAGCCAGAAAATCCTCTTCTAGTATTTAAAACATACAGTGGTGGCCAAAATTGTGGAAACCTTTTGGGAAAAGTGTATTTTCTAAAACTAGCTAATAACACCACTTTTTTGGGAGTAGTATCATAAAATTGAGGGACACGGTGGCTCAGTGGATAAGACTGAAGTGGTTGAGCTTGTCGATCGAAAGGTCGGCAGTTCAATGGTTCAAATCCCTAGTGCCACGTAACAGGGTGAGCTCCCATTACTTGTCCCAGCTTCTGCCAACCTAGCAGTTCGAAAGCATGTAAAAAATGCAAGTAGAAAAATAGGGACCACCTTTGGTGGGAAGGTAACAGCATTCCGTGCGCCTTTGGCATTTAGTCATGCTGGCCACATGATCACGGAGACATCTTCAGACAGCACTGGCTCTTCGGCTTTGAAACGGAGACGAGCACCGCCCCCTAGAGTTGGGAACGACTAGCACATATGTGCGAGGGAAACCTTTACCTTTACTTTTACCATAAAATTATATATCAATGGAAAGACAATTTAATCAAGAATGTAATGCAATAACTTTTATGAAGGATATGCTATTAGAATAGCAGTTGCAGTATAAAGAAAAGTGAAATGTAGAAAAAACGAGATATACAAAAATTATCACCATAAAAAAAATGAGGTATACAAAAATTATGTCAATTAATAGTTGGGTAATCTTTAGCATGAATTACAGTCTTACGTCTTCCCATGGAGTGAACAAAGTTTTTTCATTCTGCAGCTGTTATAATGTGAAACCAAGATTGAATGATTGCTTCTATTAACTGATTTTTATTGCTGGGTCACTTCTGACTAACAAGTTTCTTTAGTCGTCTCCATAGATTTTCAATTGGGTTAAGGTCTGGGCTATTCCCAGGCCATTCCAGAAGTGGAATATGATTATCTTGAAACTCCAAAAAAAACTGGTGTTATTAGCCATCAAACCTCAAAAATACACTTTTCCCAAAAGGTTTCCACAATTTTGGCCACTGCTGTATGGAAAAAATGTTTTAATGTATTGAACTATATGTACAAATGAGTGCAAAGCTGTTTGTTTTTGCCTTGGACACATTTTCACTTGATAATTTTACAATGAAAATACATTGTCACTGTGATCTTAGGCTTCTGAAACAATTTTTCTTTATTACAATAAACATGTTTGAATTAAACTGTTTAGAATGGTTTAATTGCTAAACTGTTTCCAGTTATATCATTTTTTGATGGAGGTTGATAAACTGTCATGCCTGGGAGAGTTACAACAGCTGTATTTCATGGGAAATTGCAGGGAAAGTACTCATAAACTACTCTGTATCAATATATTTTCTGTAGATGTCTAAAGGAATAATTTCTATTTAAATTACATAGTTGAACTTTTTTTTTCTTTTTGAGTGCCAAAATATCTAAGAATGTCTAAAATATTTTTATAAAGAAAGCATTGGTAACAATAGTTGAAAAGTCCTTGGACCCAGGTTTGGTCCAGCATTGTACCAAAGGGGCAAAACACTCTTGAGGTGTGGACCGACCATAAGAACCTGGAAGCCCTAAAAATGCCCCAGAAGTTATCTGGGGACAACAGAAGTCACCCAAGCAAGTCTGGGCAAAACACTTTAATCGCTTTAATTTCTCTCTCCACTACCTCCCTGGGGGAAAGAACTTTATGGCAGATGCTCTCTCGAGATTGCCTCAATACAATAGCGCACGGCCGGAAGTGATCCGACTGATTATCCCTTCAAAGCAGTTGGCTGCTCCTGTCGCCACTAGAGCCCAGGCGAAACAGGACCTGAACCTATCCACCGACTTTTAAAGGAAGCACTAAAAACTGATGAGTGGTTCATATCCCATTCCAATGAGTGTACGCTTTGTGATGGTCTCGCATGGGTGGGGGCCAAGTTGTATGTCCCAGCCTGAGGGGAGCCGTGTTACAACAATCCCATGATGCAAAAGTCGCTGGGCATTTTGGGTTTGTGAAGACATTACACCTACTTAAATGACAATTCTGGTGACCCTCCCTAAAGAAGGACATAGAGGCATACATTGCTAGCTGTCCCGTATGTGCTTTGGCAAAGGCCACCTGGGAAGCCGCATGAGTTACTCCAGAATGTTGCCAGAACTGGAGCTCCTTGGAAGGAGATATCCATAGATTTTATTGTCAAACTACCTGAAAGTAGTGGGAATACAGTCATTTGGGTGATTACGGACTTGTTCTCCAAACAGGTGCACTTTGTACCATGTCCCAAGATTCCCTCAGCAAAGATATTGGCTAAACTGTTCATTCAACATGTGTATAGGTTACATGGTGTTCCGGAACGAATAATTTCAGACAGAGGGGTTCACCTCCCACTTCTGGAGGGAGCTCCTGAGTTTGCTAGGCTCCACCCAAGGGCTAAGCTCCTCCCACAATCCTCAGACAAATGGAGCTTGTGAAAGGGCTAACTCGGTGTTAGACTCAGATGCTATGTAAATTACCAGCAAGATAACTGGGCAGACTTACTGCCGTTTACAGAGGTCGCCTATAATAATTGCATACACAGTAGTACTGGTTTTACCCCATTCAAGGTGGTATCGGGGTAGGACTTTGTGCCCATTCCAGAACTACTGCAGGGCAAACCTTAAATACCTTCCTTGGTGGACTGGATCGAGCAGCTTCAGTTTACCTGGCCCATAACTCATAAGACGTTAGACGAGGCTCACCGAGCCCATAAGAAGCAGGCTGATAAGAAAAGAGCTATGGCAAAGGACTATCAAGTAGAGGATAGGGTTTTCCTCTCCACTAAGTACCTACAAACAACCCAAAAGTCGAAAAAACATGGGCCTAAGTATGTGGGCCCTTTTCCTATTGTACGAATTGTAAACCCAGTCACGGTACAGTCGGAACTACCAAAAACCCTCTGGAGGATCCACACAGTGTTTCATGTTAGTTTACTGAAACCTGAACATACCTCCTCGATGCGTCTGGACCAAACCCCCCTTCCAGTTCCCCTCCTCATCGAAGAACAACATTTCGTGGTCAAAGAAATCCTTGATTCTAGAAAACATAGGGGCAAAGTACAGTACTTGGTGGCTTGGAAACATTTCCCTTCATCTCAATCTGAATGGGTGAATGAGCGAGATGTCAAAGCTCCGAACCTTTTACAGTTATTCCACTCCAATAAGCCTTGTGTTATTCTATATGTATTTTTTGTATTTCCTTAAGTTGGGGAGGTGTCTACCCTGTCCAATTTATTTTTTCTTTCCTAGGACTAATGTCTCTTCTGCAGAAGCACCAAATGTCAGCCTCTATGTTGCTTGCTTGCTATAGGCTGCCATAGTAACGGGGGGTGGGGGTGGGGTGTATAGGTATTTGGGAGGGGGAAGTGAGCTGGTGGAGATGTCTCATGAAAGTGGGGAAGTTTCTCATTGTCTTGCTGATAGTCCATCAAGGTCAATCGTTCTAGCATACCAGAGGGATGGGACCATCTGAAGATGCACCTCACATGATGCCTTGGGGGGCTGGGGATTGGACATTCAGGCAGGGTCCTTGGGGGGAGGGATTTGGGAATACTTTCAATATGTAATTTTCATGCCTATTGTCTCAGATCTTGCTTTCTTTTTGTTGCATTCAGTTCATGCTCAGTAAAAGTACCTTTCTCTACAAACATGGAGTTGTTTTTTTTCGTTTTTGTGTTTTGAACAGAGGCACACCTGACACGTATAATAATTATAATATTTTTAAAAATTTTGTGGGTTCTGTTTAGTTCTTCCTGTTTATACTTTTTTTTAAAATTATCATAACATTACATTACTCAAGATGATCAGTATTTCTAAATTGAAAAAATATTGTACCATCAATATTTCATGTAGTTAATATAAATAAGAAGATATGGGAAAATACAGGAATATGACATTCTATCTATAATGACAATATATAATGGAAATGTATAGAAATTGACAGCAATATTGCTTTCTTCATGTGAAAAGTACAGTAGTGATTTATCTTTCACCAAACTCAAAACTGTAAAATCATATATTTTTGGCTTCAGCACTTCCTCAGTTTAGTTTAGTGGGATGAAAGATAAGACTTATTTCTACTGTGGCTTACAGTTGAAGATATTTGCATCGGCAATTAATGAATGAAGGAGACTCACTTTTATGGTGCTGACTTTAATTTTAATTTACATATTCTCTACATCTGTTATCAACTTCAGCTATTCAACATTATTCCCTTACACTGAGGTCATTCCAAGGACATAAAATTACAGAAGCAATAAAAGGTCAAGTGAATAAGCCTCTTCCCTAGGTAATATGCTGATGTTTTCTTAGTCTCATGCAAATTAACTTTATTAGTGCAATTCCAAATGGGAAACTTCCCACCTGACCTGGTTTGACTTGCACACTTCTATTCTACTATCTTTACTTTCCAGATGATTGCAAGGATGATGTGGATTTTTCCAGAAGGAACTTAATAAAGAAGAATATGTAGCAAAAATAATTTTTGGCAACAATACAATATGTGCATCATTGGCTTTAGTGACACATATCTCATTCTACATGGAACATAATCATATAGATTATCATATAAACCACATTTTGTGTGCTTGTTATTTATACTAATGGGATTTAGGTTTCAGTAAGATGCCGTGGTGCCCAGCTAGAGAGCAGCACCTAGCAGCTCAGCTCAAAGGTTAGCAAAATTAGGCCTAGTTAGGATGATATCAGGAATCTAAGAATTGCAATTTAGATTGGGAAGTTAAAATATCTACAGTGACATCAGCAAACCAATTCTGTATTGTCAATCAAATCACATGCATATTTCTATGAAGGCAACTGGAAGTTGAGTTTGAATATTTTTTTTTACCTAGAGATTACTATTTCTGATAAACACCCCCCCCTTTGTTCTTTACTACATCTCTACAATTCAAATGATTTTATTTTTAAATCCCTTTCTTTTGAAATGTGTGTTTAAGAGCTTCTGTGCTATTAGCAATACAGTAGACCCTCTGGTCACGACCATAATTCTTTTTTTTTTTTAATTTGATTTATATGCCGCCCTTTTCCGGAGACTCAGGGCGGCTTACAATGCGTTAAGCAATAACCTTCATACTTTTGTATATTTATACAAAGTCAGCTTATTGCCCCCACAAACTGGGTCCTCATTTTACCTACCTTAGAAAGGATGGAAGGCTGAGTCAACCTTGAGTCTGGTGAGATTCGAACTTACAGTAATTGCAGACAGCTGGTGTTAATCACAATGCTTTTAGTCTGCTGAACCACCAGGCCCCAATTCGTTCCTGTATTGGCAAGTTCCCTAAGCTAGTGGGAGAATTAATTCCTACAAGATATGTTGATAGATATTAGCACAGGTAGTTTAATATTTCCCTCAGTAGTACTCACTATCTGTGCAATGGAACATTGTCCTTATAGAGGAAGGATTCAAACATATCATCACAGTACCTTTGCTGAGGAAACACATTTTGAAACATCACTAAAACACCATTAATTGTTAAACAGTTAGAAATGACTATAAATTGAAAGCATATAGTGTCTATAAGCAATTCATGCATTTCCTCTTTTAAATAAATCCACTTTAGCAATACTACTTACATTCGCAAATGTTAGACCAGGGTTTTTAATCATAGTTTATTAAACCGTATTTGGCTGGTTTATCTGTTAAAAATCTAATGTCTGAATTTCTGCGTAGCCAATAATGAAGAACTCTGCTTTAGCTTTTTGTGGCAACTAGGCCAGTGCATTTGAGAAAAAGAAATATTTGTATATAAGATCTGACTGCCCACCTGCTTTCTTTCATAAGCACACAATGTTCCCTCATCTTGCTGCTGTATGTTTTTAAATTAAAAATAAAGCTGAAAACCATGGGAAGTCTATAGAGTGAATAGCATTCAAGGGCCAAGTAAAATCTAATGGTGCCATAAACTAAAACACATCAAAGAACACAATACAGTCCTTTTTAAAGTTTATTTTAGAAACTGAGCAAGCATCATCTGGGATTGCTCACATGAAACACCATCACTATAAAAACCCATTACAGGATTGAAGTTCAGTGAACCAGAACAGAGTGCCAATGGGGAAGAGGAAAATTTATTTTCTCTGCTTTAATACCAGTTGTTTGGTTACATCACTCAGGTAATATTGTAGGAGGAGAGCCAGCCTATGCATTAGCAAAAATTCAGTA